TCCACATCGAAAAACGGGAAACCAAATCGAGCATGTTGTGATAGACGGAAGACATGCTTCCATGTTTTAGATGTACATACGTACACTCCGAGGGCCAAACATCGACTCGCACTACTATATTGATGCATCCAATATACGACCTAACCTCGGAGAAGCAAAAAAAGGGCCCCCAACAATGCAGGGAAAGTTCAACGTCGAAAAGCTGCAATCAAACAGACGGCCAATGGATTCGGCGCTCGACCCTCACACCTGCTGTGAGAGAGCACTATTCAACAAACCGACTTGCGCGAGCAGTGGAACCACATTTCCCGCTAATTACTGGTACGATCACGAGTGTGAGAAAATGCTTGAAATGCTGTCCGACAGAAAAAACACACGAAATTTTTAGCAGAGAGTTGGGCGACTTACGGAAGGTTTCAAGACTCTGGTATGAACAACCATGGCGACCTAGTGACCGATGTCCAGAACGTACTCAGATTATGGAGGGAACACTTTTCGACCCTTTTGAATAGCGGATCCAGTCGATGACGATGGAGTCGATATCCCAGCGCCTGACTATGAAGAAAAGTGCCAAAGTTGTTTGAGCTGACGGCCTGTCAGCTGAGCTATTTAATTACGATGGCAAGGAGGTAATAAGGTGCATGCCCGACGACTGGAATTCAAGTGCGCTCTGCCCAATCCACAAGAAAGGCGACCCCGCCATGTGTACCAACTACCGCGGGATCAGCCTTCTAAGCATAGGTTGCAAGGTCTTATCGAATGTATTGTCTACCATAGACCAGGTATTCACAGTACGCCGAATCTTGGAAAAGACCCGCCAGAAAATGATCCGCACTCACCACCTATTTGTCGACTTTAAAGCCGCTTTCGACAGTACTTAAAGGTATATGCCGCTATGTCTGTCATACGCCTGTGAAAAATGACGTTGAGTAATACCACCAGCTCTGCTCTGTTGCCTTTCGCCACCAGACGGGGTTTCAGACAGGGCGGCTCTCTTTCATGTGGCTTCTTTAATCTGATGTTGGAGAAGATAATAAGATCTTCAGAACTGAACCGCTTAGGAACAATTTACTACAAGAGCGTACAATTGCTGGCTTATGCCGATGACACTGACATCATCGGTAAGAAAAACCGCGAAGTCTGTCCTGACTTTTCCAAGTTGGACAAGGAAGCAAAGCGAATGGGTCTGGTGGTAAACGACGACAAGACGAAGTATCTCCTGTCATCAAACAAACAATCAGCACATTCGCGCCTGGCACCGAATAAGTACATAAGTAAGTTATTGGTTTTGAATTTTTTATTTTGTATGGGCCCCCCTCTAAATTTCGTTCTGGCTACGCCCATGAGTACGCATACATTTACATGCGTCTAGATACGCATACATGAGTACATACATAGCAGCATAGCGTTGAAAACCGATATTTTTGCACTTTGAAATATTTGTTTGCTTAGTTTCGTGTTGGTCTACTTTTTTCTACGGCATTTGAAGCGTTCTTCTCTCTCTCTCTCTCTATTTTCCTTTCAGTTCTCCCACTGGATTATGCTATGCTAAACTTTTAATTGCTTCGCCTCTTGAGGTGCATAAATGTTTTTGTAAAGTTTCTAGCTGAATTCGTAGCGGGGAAAAGCGTTTGGTCAATTGTAGTTGTAGTTAGCGTATGCAAGGTGCTGGTGATTGAGAAGTCCTCTAGAGCTTTGGAATAAGAAAGTTTTTAAACTGATATTTGAAGATATTGTATTTTTTAATAGCAATATCAGTGATTAAATAAGAAATTTTTATTTAAAAGGAACTACTGCAAATTTCTTGTGCAGCTTCGTTATGCACTAGCGATAAAAAAAAATCAAGAGATTGTTCTTCGATTTTCTTTCTCATAAATTTTTAACATTTTTGTATAAGGGCGTTATGGTTTGTGTATGTACAGTGCCGGGCAAAAGTATTGGCAAAGAGAACTTTTCGCAATATATGCAAAGTTTTTTATTCTAATTTATGTTATTTAGTTTTTATGTTTTTTGGTGTAGGATGAACTATATTTTTACAAAGAATTATCGAAAATAAAATAGAATAAAAAACTTTGCAGATATTGCGAAAAATTCTCTGTGCTAATACTTTTGTCCGGAACTGTAAGTATATTCTCAAAATGTTTATGAAATTTTTAATAGTTTTAAAGTGAATATCAGCCCGATTCTGTGCACTTCTATTATTTATCAAGAATTGGAATGCTAGCACAGAAATCAAATACTCTTTTCCTGATAAATTATCAAGGTCGAAAATGCTACTGACAAGCGTTTACAAATTGAAATTTCATATGAAAATTCATATGAAAATTCTAAATTTTGTATATTGAAAATTTGTTTCTATCATTTAAATACTGCATGTGCGGGCATTTGAACCTGTGACACACAGAATTTATAGCCGACATCTCTACCTACTCGGCTACGACAGTCAAAAGCTGTTTTGCTTTCAAGTTCAAATCAAAGTTGAAATCAGTTCCACTCATCGCATTCTGTGTCAATATTTATTAAATAAAAACTCTACGATTTCCACAAGAGGGGAACTGATTTCCACAGAATGCGATGAGAGCTTTTACTTGATAAAAATCTTGCTAAAATTTCTTTACAAATAATTTATCAGGAAAACACAGAATTGTGCGGTATATCTGCTGTTGATTTTATCGCTATAGAAAATACCGCCTAAAAGTATGCAAACATTCTTGAATTTTTGCATACGTATGTAGCTAGCATGGATGTTGTAATTCTCAAATGGTGTTTAAAAAAATGTATGTATTTAAGTCGTTAGTGATTAGTATACTCAGCCGTTCATGTGATCTCACGCCGAAAGTTGCCATTTTAAAAAGCTAATTATAGGAAACCAAACCGGTATTAACTAGGTTAAGAGCAAATTCATATGTGTGAATGTGTGTGTGAAATGGAGAAAAGTCCACTGTTTCCTTCTCGCTATTAACGGCAGGCCTAAGAAGCATTAACACTTCTGGTAGAAACCCCTAAAGAAGCAACAAGCAACAATAAATAACCGTCTCATCTTTAGATTAGTCCAATGTTTCTTCGATCGGCGAGGGGAATACTTCTTTCAACAACAAACACAAAGGAGAATGCATCTGCGGAATATTATCGTCCTGCATGGCGGCATGCATAAAGGGATGCGCATTAGGGTGGTACAAAAACAGTAAAGTCGGAATTGTAATGCTCTCACCCTCTAGGATTGTTCTATATCGAAAAAAGTATACCCTTATTTTTGATTTTGAAATCAATAAATATTTAGAGATCGCTCAAAGCGCTTAAAGTTTATTTTTATATGGGAAAAATAAATTTTTTCGTATAAATGCTATAGAATTCTTGAAAGCCAATATTTTTCAATCGGAAAACTCTGTTTCTCTTCAGGAGACTTTCAATAATAATACCCAATTGCTTATTTAACCATTTTTTAATACTAACGATTTTTTGTTGGTCGCCCCATTGCATTTTTCGAGGTTTTTGTGGATTTTTTGCGAACCTATAAATTAAAGTCACAATGAAAAAATGATTAAATAAACAATTGGGTATTATTATTGGGAATCTCATTCAGATAAACAGAGTTTTCTTGTAGACAATTTTGACTTTTATTTATTCTATACCATTTCTACGAAAAGTTGTTTTTTCCCCCATATAAAATACATGAAAAACTTTGGGCGCTTTGAGCGACCTCTAAGTATTTTTTGATTTCAAAATAAAAAATGTGGGTATAATTTTTTCGGTATAGAACAATCCTAGGTGGTGAGAGCATACAAATTCCGACTTTACTTTTTGACATGCATTTTTGGACCACCCGAATGTACATCCTACTAATTCCTATGTAAATACTTATTAGAAATGCGAAAGCTTGTGGTTGGGAGAGTAAATATGTGTGTTGCTCTTTCACGCAAAACGGTTGTAGATATTTCAGTTATCACGGGTAGTTTATAACCTGAAGTGATGTACATATAGACGGTTTATGGAAAATTTTGTTAGCTTTCCATTTCACGATATACGTGATTAAATGGAACCACTTTTCTTTTTAAGCTGAATATGGGTAAATTGCAAATTTATCAAAAACTTATCCATAAAAAAATTGACTGGATTTTCGGAATCACCAAGCAATATTTCAAAGGAACTGGATAGTGGCATCCGGCGAAAAAAAAATATATGATACAATGTAATTTTTTTATTATTCTTCGATAAATTAAAAAAGAGCTCTCCGGAAAAAAAGTTTATATTAACGAGAAAGTAAAATCCGATATTTCTTCCTCTTTTGAAGGAACAAACAGCTTTTTGTTTTTGAAAAAAAAATATGTACATTATGGGCAAGATGTGAGAAGTGTGCTATGTAAAGAATTTCATATTTTATATCATATATATTCTTCATCTTTATGCTCACCTCTTGCATGTAAGTTTAAATGTTACGAAAAAAAGTTGGAAAACAATTTTATTCAGAAAAATATTCCTAGCACACAGCTTAGTGCAAAAATGTGAACAGTTCGTTCAACAATGACATTGATCCTTTCTTGTTCAAAAAGTTTTACTTGGTGTTCTTGAAATTTAAAGGTAAAAAAGTGTCAAGTCCATTTTTTCAAAATTTAGTTTTAGATGCAGAATGGCAGGTAATACGAAACTAAATCGATTTTTCGTCTCTCCTCAACAATTTCAAAAAATGGACTTGGCTCCTTCTCATCCTTAGGTTACGATAGATAAATTAAGTCACACACGCACATAAAGCATTTGCTGTACACTACTTTCAGAAGTGTGTGTAAATGTAAGCAACAATAAAGTGAAATCACTAAAAAAAAGTTAGAACACATATCGAGCCCTAACCGCCAAAATAACGTAAGCGACATTTTTTTTTTAAATTTTCTTTTTGATGCAGAAATGCATCTAGATGCTCTAGGAATATTTCTGCATCAAAAAGAAAATTTTGAAAAAAATGTCGCTTACGTTATTTTGGCGGTTAGGGATCGATATGTATGTACACAGAGAACGTAACAAAAGCATAAGAAAGAAATATAAAAAAGTATAAAATACATAAAAATGCTTACAGCTTTAAGCTGATTAATTTCTTCGGTCTGACTGGAGTATCCCCGCAAAAGCTCCAAACCAGCAGCGGAAGTAGACGAAATGCGGCGCAATTGTTCTGAAGAAAAACCAATTCAAAGCAGTAGAAAAACAGAAAAAAAAGAAAAACAAGAAAAAGGAAAATAAGTGAAAAAATAAATATTTTTTTAAAATCAAGTGGAAATCTCTTTATACAAACAACAAATACAAAATAATAAAACAATAAATTTAAAACAATTAAATACCAAAGGATGTGTTTCCGGTCGGCAAATGACACAAAGGATCTGAGATGATTTTGTTGTTGTCGTTGGCACCCGCACCACCACCATTATACTGGTTGTTGTTGTTGTGTGTGCCAGCTGGAGTGCTTCCGCTAGCGCTGTTAGCATTCGCCGCCACCACCACCGCCGACGGTGTCGTCATGGAGGTGCCCGACGTAATGGCGCCA